TGCCCAGGTGGGTCTCGAACCCGCGGGCTCAGGCAGTCCACTCACCTCAACCTCCCAAAGTGCGGGATTACAGGCTGAGCCACCAAGCCCGGCAGTTATATACATTTTAGGAAGACAGAAGTTATAAAACCCATATATCAGTACAGGTGAGATTTATTTTATTTTATTTTATTTTATTTTATTTTATTTTATTTGAGTTGGAATCTTACTCTGTCCCCCACGCTCCCAGCCACCACAGCCTGGACCTGCAGGTGATCCTTCTGCCTCAGCCTTCCAAGTAGCTGGAACTACAGGCACATGCCATCACGCTAAGCTAATTTTTTGATTTATCATAGAGATAAGGTCTCACCAAGATGTCCATGCTGGTCTGGAACCCATGGATTCAGGCAATCCACTCACCTTGGCCTCTCAAAGTGCTGGGATTATAGGAGTGAGCCACTGTGCTCAGCCTTAGGTGAAATTTGTATTGGTGTGCCTCAGAAAGGCGGGACACCTCCAAGCAGGGGTTCTTGCAGATGATAGGTGGATGCAAAGATTTGCTTTAAGGCATTTTGAAATCAGTAAAGGAAATGCCACATAGAGATAAGGGGTGACTTGAGGAATGATAAAAAAGTTGTTTCTTGACATGTAGATGAAGCCTTCTAGGTGGCAGCCCTGAGAGAGAACACATAGGGAACATCTAGCTGCTTTCGGGAAGAGGGTTCTATACAGACGCAGATTCCCCAAGAGATGGCCTTGCAGGGTTATAAAATATATATATATTTTTATCTGTTATGTGATGCCAGAGTCAGGTTGGAAAGTGAACAACATTATATAGGGTTAATAAAAAAAAAAACCCATCTGATGAGACTCCCCCCACTCCCTTAGTTACAAATTTGATAAGAGGGGGAAGAAAGTTCAGAGTTTAGTTCTCAGCCTATATTAACAAACAGAGCTTCTCTTTAAAAAAAAAAAATGCAGCCGGGCTCGGTGGCTTAGCCTGTAATCCCAAGCCTTTGGGAGGCTGAGGTGAGTGGATTGCCTGAGCCCGCGGG